TCTTGAGTTTCTAAGGCCGAAAAGTCTGGGAACGAGCTCATGTCAGCGGCTACTCGATAAAGTACAAGCGTACCATGCTCTGAGGCCGCGATAAACTAGCGGCTATTTGCAGAAATATTGCATGTATCAGGACCTAATGAAAATAACGTGACCTCTGGCGATAATTTTAGCAACACTTTCACCAATTTTCATTAAAAAACATGTTGTCTTTCATCCGACGTACATATGGGTTATCTTCAAGAGCTCCAGAGGTAGGTTAATCACATTCTGAGGTGATAGTTTTGCCATCTGATTTCTCAATACTGTTGTAATCATTACCTCCCAGGTATTTAGAGTGTCTGGACGGGCTGGAAGATGTCAGCTAACAGCAGTCACTAGATGTTACGCAACAGATGGTAAATAGTTGTAATAGTTATTTACTAGAATGGAGCTTTTATTACCATCTTCATTATATTATCAAACTTTGTTATTAGTTGTCTAGTAAAGATCTTGAACATTTAATGGTTAACTTTTAAATTTTACAGTGCTGATGGGAAATTTTTATTAAGTTCGTCACGGTTATAATTTTGACGATATTGCAATGCACTGCAGTATTAATGTAAAATCGAGAATGAATTGACTAGCCCCCTAGCCCATAAGAATGAAGTTAATTTGTCAGTCAGTCAAACCAACAAGGTTGTAGTTATGTGAAATAACTATGATTTAAGTTTCCTCTTCTAAACTCAAATTTCCAAAAAGAAAATCAGAGAACTATCAACTGTCTGGAATGTGAGTTGTCCTGTGGAAAATTATAAAGAAAATACTATTTCACTATTTCAAGTTTGAAGGATACTGAAGTTACATATAACTCAAGTTGTAGGAAGGAAGCATATTTTTGTGTGCATTATATGATCTCTTTTATTCACATGTCTTTTATGGGCATCTTGAGTTGCATATCAGGTTTTCAAGAAGGAGAGGGTACTTTTTTTGGTAACATAATGTATGTTAGGTTTAAAGAGAGAAGTAACAACACTCTTATCCATTTTGTTATGGTCTTTTGACATGTTTGGTGGACTGGTGCTTTCATTTAAATATCAACCTTGTTACAGATAAATGGACCTTATAATCTTTGATTATGCCCAGTTTCATGAGGTTGAATATGTGATACACAGGTATATCAGTCTTAATGAATGGTAAATTTTGAATGATATTTTATTACCTTGTTTAGGGGAAGTTGATCTTGTAGTGATTGGATCAGGTCCTGGGGGATATGTAGCATCCATCAAAGCAGCCCAGCTTGGGATGAAGGTTTGTACAAAAACATGAACTGTTTTAAAAATAAGGAAAGACAAGGAAAATGTTGCATATTAATTGGTGAATTTTGGGAAGTTTGAATGCAAAATGCTTTGCATGGTTTTAATTCTTTTGTTTTACAGACAGTTTGTGTTGAAAAAGAAAAGTCATTAGGAGGCACTTGTTTAAATGTTGGATGTATTCCATCAAAGGTGAGTCAATCTGAAAAAATAATATTTATGTTAGAACTCATCACAGCATATTCCAAAAAATTGAGACAAAAAAATTGATCAGGTAGCAGGAGCAGCCTCTCAGGTGAATCTACTCCCCCCCCCCCTTTATTTGTCAAGAACAAGTTTTTTTTTTGTATTGAAACAACTTGATATGCCCCCAGATGTCAGCACAATGTCAGTGTAGTGTAGAAGAAGCCCCATCCTTGGTAATTTAGCTTTGATTTCTTGCTTTTTTCATGTTTGTCTGTTGTAACAAGTAAAACATGGCTTCATTTTGTTGTTCATAACAAAAAAATAGAATATATTGGCAAAAAAGATTAAGTTTCTTTCAAACAGAAAAAAAAAATTTGAACCAATTTTTTTCAGACTGCTATTTGTTATTGTGCATTAAGTGGTCTTAGTTATGATTTCAATTTGATTGCTAATCAATTTTGATTGCTGATAATAGTTTGTTACAATTATCATTTACAGGCATTACTGAACAACTCACATTTGTATCATCAAGCTGTTACTGCTGATTTCAAAAACAGAGGAATAGAAGGTTGATAACATTTGCCCTGTGAATATTACCGTAAACTTTTAATGATGATTTAATGATATTTAAACTGGTTAATGAATGAAAATGTCATTTCCTATCTCCCTTTAATTTTACAGTGGGTGAAGTAAAACTCAATCTTGAAAAAATGATGGAGCAGAAAACAACAGCTGTAAAGACACTGACAAATGGAATAGCTCACTTATTTAAACAGAACAAGGTAATGGCCAGAACAATATTAGTGCTGTTGTTGTATCCACCTAGTGTATCTACCTAGCTTTCAAAAAATGCAAGCATTGCCAAGATTAGCTTTTTAAGTCATGTTACCAGAATCCTCTTAGGAAATAGTACTGTCAGTAATATATCAATCCCTCAAATTTCTCTCTGTGGGTCAGCACCTGTTGACAGCACTAGGGAACAAGTTTTTTGGACCATTTCTCATGACCATTGTACTGATGAATTACAGTCTCTCTCACCCCTCTGTCAAGTCTCTCTCCTTATCCCCTTATCCTCACAACCACCCCTGTCTGTGACTATGTGTAGTTGTTACTCCACCCTACCCTGGAGAAGCTGTACAATACTGTTGTTAACCCTTTGACCCCCAAGAGTGACTGGCATCTAATTTCTCCTTACAATATCACCCCTGAATCACACAGTATGGTCATGAGAATAAAGGAAATGATATCAAATAATTAAGCCCTTGATCATCAAACAAATTCTCGTTATCAGCATCTTTGGAAATGTATAGAGGACAGTAAGGAGTATCTGCATACTATTGTTAGGGTAAAAAAGGGTTAATATTCCTGATATGTATCCTGTTTTACAGGTAACTCGCATAGATGGACATGGTTCTATATCTGGACCAAATGAGGTGAGACCAAAATAACACTCTTCCTCTTCTTTTACAAATGTGATAGAGCAAAATTAAGTGTTGTTTTCTAATGTTTTCATCAGCACATACTGCTTGGGATAGGTAACATTCTGAACATGTTATTGCCCGAAAAATTAAAATCTTGACTGCAAAACAGAAATATTGTCTTGTGCATGTATCTGCATTTTTCCTAATCTCCCTTACCCAGTGTTAATGATTTTCAAGGTGACAGTTCATAAGGAGGATGGCAGCACAGAAATTGTTCAAACCAAAAATATCTTGATAGCCACTGGATCTGAAGTGACACCCTTCCCTGGAATTGAGGTGAGGATAAAAAAAACCACTTGTTGTCACATTTATTGGAACTCATTAAAGTTTATTTTTAAGATCATGTAAAACCCTAGTTTAATAATGACATCATGCTGGTTGGAAACAAGCTGCTGCTTTGAAAACACTAATCTTTTGTCAGATTGACTAATAGATCACAGATGATGTCAAAATGTGGTGAAAACGAAAAAGTGGCGCAGAAAGTGTAGCAGAGTATGCTGCTGATTTTCTTACCACATTTTGATGTTACCTTTGATGTATTTAAAGGTGCACTGCAACGTGTAATATATTTGTGTGATATAAAAATTTGTTAATGGTGATGTCATGACACATCTGTCCGTCAACAGATCATAAAATAGCACCATTCATTATGTGTGTTTATATTCAGCTCATTGTATAATGCATGCTTTGTTCCTGTGGCACTAACAAAATGATCCTGATATTATGATGTTGTTATGATCTTTTCACAGTTTGATGAACAAGTTGTCATATCCTCAACTGGTGCCCTCTCACTTAACAGAGTCCCAGAGAAATTAATTCTTATTGGAGCAGGTGTCATTGGGGTTGAATTGGTAAGTTGCTCACACATTTGAGAAATTCAACATTCTCTTTAAGGCCCAATAAATTTTTTTACTTCCAAAAGAAATGTTTACCTCACAAATGCATAATTGTTTTCAGTCATGTGACAGTTGAAAAACATATTATTTTGCCATACCAATATGCTGTTGCTGTGTCTTCTACCAAATTCTGTTTACTGTTGATTGTATAGACAACAGACGTGTGCCTGAGAGCTACAGTACTCTTCTTAGACTACCATAGTTGAAAGGAAACTAAAAGTTTGGCATGTAAAGAACTGTACAAGTTTGGGCATGGTATTTAAGGTTGCAATGTTACTGGTTTGTTTTCAAGGGTTCAGTTTGGTCAAGACTTGGCTCACAAGTGACAGCTGTTGAATTTTTGGGACATATTGGTGGTGTTGGTATTGATATGGAAGTCGCGTAAGTTGAAATTGCTATTTTCAGTATTAAGCTTAATGTTTTCTCTTTGCATGGCTTTCCTAGTGATACATGTAAATAACTTCCCAGTGTTCTCCAGTTCCTTCAGTGGCACAGCATGCTAAATGAGATAACTATTTTGGTCCTTTCCATCTCTCCCACCTTTCCATTTGAAACTCCTTTCATTTTTTCATATTTTATTATCAGTAGGATGACTTCTTTCATGACTCCTCATTCATCTGTTTATCTTAATATGAAGATTTTCATTCTTTTTAACCCTACTCATAGTTATTGATGTTTTACTTTTGTGCCTTTAATATTATGCAGGAAAAATTTCCAGAGAATTTTGCAGAAGCAAGGAATAAAGTTCAAACTTAACACAAAAGTGACAGGTAAGGTTCAAACAAAAGCGGATTATGAAGTGAATTCACTGTGGTTAGAAGAATGCAAAATTATTTTGACTTCTTGTAATCGAATTCATACACGTACAAACAGTAATATTTCCTCTGTTTATCGTTCAGGTGCAACAAGAACCGAAGATGGAATCAAAGTGAGGTAACAGTTAAAAAAAGAAAAAAAAACCTCCTACTTAAATAAATTAAGCTTTGATTCGTGACACAGAAGAGTCTAAGGACTGATTCTTCATGATGGAACTTTCAGTTGTCTTTTGTTTTTTGTTACAGCGTGGAATCAGCCAAAGATGGTTCGAAAAAGGAAGAGGTACCATTGGTGTTTGGCCTTGTGAAGTTTGACGTGTTGCTTCTGTG